ACTTGTTTTATTTAAGTCTCCAATTAAAATGATGTACCACATGGAGGCAATTGTGAATATATTTCAAAACCATGGAAATGTGGTTCCTCTCCACCACCTGCACATGCTCCATAATAATGATGGTCACAGTTATTTAGTGTCTGTGGGGAATCAAGCAAGCAGTGGGTTAAGAATATTACCACATTTAATTATTGAACTGTTCTACGAGTTAAGTATTATTTTTCCCATTTTACACACGGATGCTATCTTGGAGACATCAAAGAACTTGCCTCAAGTGACACAGCTATTGTGTGATTAGTAATATCTCATGCTAAACCCCATTACATCACTCTTCAAAGACATAGCCCTTGTTGCTTCCTCTACTTTTTCTCTGCTCTCTCTTTAACTGTTTAAGAATTGATGGGTTGGGTGCAGTGGCTCACACCTGATATCCCAGTGCTTTAGGAGGCTAAGGCAGGTGAATCACTTGAGCCCAGGAGTTTGAAACCAGCCTGAGCAACATGGAGAAACCCTGTCTCTAGAAAACAAAACAGAACAAAAATGAGTCATACATGGTGGCATGCACATGTGGTCCCAGCTACTCAGGGGGCTGAGGCAGGAATCTTGTGCGGCGGGAGGCAGAGGTTGCTGTGAACCAAGATTGCTCCACTGCACTCCAGCCTGGGTGACAGAGCTTGACCCCTTCTCAAAAAACGAATTGGATCATAGCTGTGGCAATGCCTGACTTACTTTCTCCTTTGTAATTTAAGTGTACTGACATTTTTTGCTCTTTAAATGTCTAAATTAATCATGTGGGTATTAAGGTCAAAGAATCACTACTGATTCAGGATTCATTTGTGACCTTTCTATCCTCGGTAAACTTCCAATTTCAGTAGCCATTTGGTTCCAGGTAACCAAGTGATCTATTTTGCCTCCCTTCCTATGTTTCAGTAGGAAAGAAAACTGTTATAAAATACCGTAGTGTTTTGTTTGTTTGTTTGTTTTGGTCATGAAAAGAACAAACATTTAGAATCAGATGGATCCAATATAAATGCTGGCTTTACTGTAGAAACTTTCATTGGAGAGGATTAGGGTGCAAGAAAACTTGCATAAAGAACCTAGCATGGTGCCTACTTGGAAAAATATGCATGCACTTCTCATCCATCTTCATTTTCTTAGGTAAATCTCCACCTTCCCTAGATTTTCTATTGTCCCCTTTAAAAATATTTTAAAATGATACCTGGATCTTTGGAATTAGAACTAATATTCTCAAGCTAACTTTTACTTTACAAAATTAAAGAAAAAGTTATAGCAGTAACTATGAACTGCCTTGTTTTACTGCATGAGAAGAAGGGAGTATAAGCAGCCATAGGCATAAGTAGTTTAGTAAATTTCAGGACTTCATCTTTTATCAGGAGCATCTTAGTCATAATGAAATGCTTTCTCCATCAACTCCATGCTTCTGCTGTCATTAGTCATATGTAACAGCAATATTATTCCTTTGTTTTGGAAAAGCTCAAAACCCTTTAGAAACACATCCCAGGAAATTCTGTACTTTAAAGACTGCTACCCACCAGCCTTCATCCCCCACAGCTTCACAAATCACAGCCTTTCTCTCCCCTTTTACATTATTTTACTTTGTCATCAACATTAAATCCATTTCTAGGGAACCTTTGACACTGATTGGTGGAACAACCCATTCTTAGAAATATTTGAGAGTAGGATTCTAACCAGTAATGTAATAACTCTTTCAAACTTGATTTTCATGCCTGTAATCTTTTCTTTCATTTGTAATGAAGCAGCACCTTTGAAATCCAATGAATTGACCCAAACCCAAAAGTAAATAAATGAATAAATGCTCTGCTATTGAGGACCCAGTCTTGCTCACTGGGTCACTCTCACAACAGTCCTTCCCCAAAGAAGGGGAAAATCTCAGTGCTAAGGCACTGAGTGTCATTATCAGCATGCTTCAGCAGAAGATTCTTGAGAAAAGGATGGAGGAAACACCAAATTCATGGATTTTTTTTTCTCTCAAATGACTGAGTTGGTTTAAAAATCAGTTGGAGCTTGGGAAACAAAATAAAGAACAGGGCAAACTTCGTCACCTTATGCAATGGCCGGTTGAGAAAACTTTAATTACTCCAAGTTTCACTGATGGAAAAATCCAATCCAGAAAGCACTGGCCCTGAAACACCCAAAGGGATCCCTTGGAAGAATTTTCTTTAGAGCTCAATTTCCTTGTGGCATGGCTGCGGCTGGGGCACACAGAGGTGTATTATATGTAGTCCCTCTGCCCAAATGCATATAAAAGAGGGAGTTGGGAGAAGAAAACTTCCTGCTTGGACTATTCATCAGTAAATATTGTTTTCTATTGAGAATTCTAAAAAACGTCTGTTAGATGATGGCTGATGTCCCTAGGGAAGTTGTTCTTTTCTGAGGAAAACATATCCTACCCATACAGTACTTACTGCATGTCAGTCATTGATGATAGCCAAACACATAATAGTGTATGCCTCAGCAGCCCATGAAGTAGGTACTGTTCTTATCAGTTTCCAGGTGAGGGAGCTGCAGCACAGGGAGCTTATATATAACTTGTCCCAGGTTAAGCCTCTTGTAGGGGTGGAGCATGGTGTGAGCCCAGGACTCAAGGCCTGTTCTTTTTTTTTTTTTTTGAGATAGAGTCTTGCCCAGGATGGAGTGCAGTAGCACCATCTTGGCTCACTGCAGCCTCCACCTCCCAGGTTCAAGCAATTCTCTCGTCTCAGCCTCCCAAGTAGCTGGGACTACAGGCACACACCACCACCACCACGCCCACTAATTTTTAGTCTTGTTAGTAGAGATGGGGTTTTGCCATGTTGACCAGGCTAGTCTCAAACTCCTGGTCTCAAGTGGTCTGCTCACCTTGTCTTCCCAAAATGCTAGGATTACAGCATGACCTACTGTACCTAGCTGAGGGCCTGCTCTTAACCCTGCACACTGCCCATGTTTCTTGATCATCACAAGATTACATACGCACTGCTGTCTTCCTTTCTTCCAGCTTCACAAGGTGTCCCAGGCTTTCTCCTTTCCTTTTAGATTCTTCGGGTTTGTTATCAGTATTCAACCCATTTCCACAGAAGCTTTGATACTGCCCAGTGGAACCAGTCTTAGAAATATTTACTCTAAGACTTTAAAACAGAAAAAGGACTTAATCAACGGGATGGGTCCTTGCAAGAGGCAGGTGCTGCCTGTTTTCTTTTTAACTAATTAGTAAAAACAGTTGCAGGCTTTTGATAGGGTGACCCAGAGAGGCTGTGGTAAATGTTGCATTGGCAAAGAAACGCCACAGCATGAAGGCAGGGAAAGTGCTACATAACTAGAAGTTTAAGGGTATCTCTGGCTTTGTCTTTCTTTTGGCCTTATATTCCTGTGAATTAGGTAGAAGCAGTAAGGTGTTGTTTCCATTTCAAAGATGTGGAAAATGAGCATAACGAAGATGGTGAACAGGAAGAAGGTAAGATCCCACAGCATAGCAGCAGGGTGATGTGATGCGGGTGCACAGGAGATAGGAAGCTTTGTTTCCCATCTGGGTGCTGCACTTGAGCAGTGTGAACTGGTACCAGTTGTTTAGCTTCCCTTGACCTGAAATGTTTGCATCTTTAAAACAAAAGGTCAAACCAGGCCATGAGCGGTGGCTCCAGCCTGTAGTCCCAGTACACTGAGGGGCCAATGCAGGCAGATTACTTGAAACCGGGAGTTTGAGACAAGTCTGGGCAACATAGTAAAACCCCATCTCTACAAAAAAATACAAAAATTAGCCAGGGATGGCAATTATAGCATGCACCTATAATCACAAGTACTCAGGAGGCTGAGGTGGGAGAATCATTTGAGCACGGGAGGTCAAAGCTGCAGTGAGCATTGATCGTGCTACTGTACTCCAGCCTGGGCAACAGAGCGAGACTCTGTCTCAAAAAAAAAAAAAAGCCAAGCTGGATAATTTCTAATATTCGTAAGGTTCTATTCAACCTTCCAACCACTTGGTTCTACCCAAATTATTCCATAATCTTGTACGCCTTGTATACAACAACTTATTCATTTTGCATTTTTTGACTCCTTGTGATGTCATAATTTCCTCAGCTCTCCCCTTTTATCCAAAGCTCCATCTGTTGAATTAAAACACACTTCCTGAACCAAAAATCCCTATCTTTACCCATTACCCTACCCATATCTTTATACAGAGCTTGCTTATTTTACCCAGTCCATTGCTGTTAACTTTTTTCTCCTGTGGAAATCATTTCCCCACTCTTATTTTTACTAAGTTTAACTCCACTTTCTTCTTGTTTCAAGCAGTCTTCACGTGAAGCTATTTGAACTACTTTAGGAAGCTGGAAGCAATTAGTCATTAAAAATAGGCCTAGAAGTTGAAATAAATTGGGCAAGGAGAATCATGACAATTAAGTAGCCTAACAGTGAAATGCAATCCTTTTTGCTTTACTTTCACCTTGCCTTTCTGAGAATGGGGGGTGAATTATTCAAACTGAATAATATCGGGAAGTGCTACAAAGAGTAAGGGGGCCCTTAAGAAGTTTCTTTCAGACAAAAAGTGTCCAATTTTTGCAAAATGATTTTTTAAAAATTTTTTATTGCTGATTTCCTAATATTAGGAAAATCACGGAGCTAGGCTGTACTGCCTGTAGGCGACATTGTGCCTTTTGTTGCAATTGTTCTTATCTCACTAAGTGTCATCTTATTAGACTGATGTTCTTTTTTTTTTTTTTTTTTTTTTGAGAGATGGAGTCTTGCTCTGTCACCTAGGCTAGAATGCAGTGGTGCCATCTTGGCTCACTGCAACCTCCATCTCATAAATTTAAGTGATTCCCTGGCCCTGCCTCCCAAGTAGATGAGATTATAGGTGCCCACCATCACGCCTGGCTAATTTTTGTATTTTTGGTAGAGACAGGATTTTGCCATGTTGGCCAGGCTGGTCTTGAACTCCTGACCCTAGGTAATCCATCCACCTTGGCTTTCCAAATTACTGGGATCACAGGTGTGAGCTACTGTGCCTGGCCCAGACTGATCTTCTTTTTGCCATGAGGTACAATTGGTTCCAGCTCCAATATGTCTTCCAGCTGAGAGGACAGTGAGATGAGAGATACATGAAGTTTTCTAGTAAATAATTCTCCACAAATACTATGCTCACATTTTTAAGTAGCTAGGTACTGATTGTTTTTAACAAAAGAGTTATAACAGAACATCATGTAGGTCAAATGCTACCTATTTTTCACTTAGAGTCAAACTATTTTTTGACTTAGAGTTTTTCCTCCACATACTTGGAAGATTGATCCCCCATGCATACCCAAATCCACTCACACTCAAGTCCCACAGTAGGCCCTGGGAACTCACTAACAGGAAAAGTTGAAAAGTCAGCCCTTCACATGTACAGGTTTCACATGCCATGAAGATTGCATTTTCCATCTTCTTTTGGTTTAAAAGAATTAGTATAGGTGAACCCATGCAGTTCAAACCTGTGTTGTCTGAGGTGGATCATTTTTAATCTGGCCTTTTGCACAGATCTGGCTGTTAGAGAGTTTATGTGTCTTGATGTTAGGACAAAAGAGTATCAGCTCAGGTAGTAGTAGGTTGTAAAAGACAAATGTCTTTGCTTCCCCTGGCTTTGTGTAATAGGTGCTTATTTCAGCACAAAATTAGATATTGAGATAATGTCCAAAAGAAGTGATTATTTTCCTCTCTGAAAATGTTAAAGCTTTAAAGAGATTCATTTGTCAAGATAAATTTAGATTGAATTTATAGGTTGCTTATTTGCATATTATGATCTGAAACATTATCTTTCCCTGAGTGACCAGCAATGGTAACATTTCTTATGGTCTTGAGAACCAGTGGCTTGAAAGAGCCAGTGTTTGAAAGATCTCTGTGAATTACCATGCTCCTCTTACTCATGTTCATATTTAGATGGTCACTTCTGGCTTTCATTCAAAATTTATTTAGGTCCAGCTATTACTTTTAGACTGAGCATGGGGGATAAAGTCCTTGGGGGATACAGTCTATAAACAAAGGATCTCCTCTTTCTAAATGGATATCCCCAACTAAACTACACGTTTCATGAAGGTAGAAGGCAGGGTTATCGTCATTTTTATGTCCTCACAGCCACATTCATTGTTGGTGCTCATTAATTAGATTGGATGACTATGTCTTTTTAATAGAAGTCATGCTTCATAAATAAAGGAGAATGGTAGGAAAACTGGAAAACCTTGACATGCTTGAGCCCAGCGGATTCTGCGTCTCTTCTGTGGTAGGTAGATGGGCCAGCTAGGTTTACTGGAATTTTTGCTTGATTCCTCCCTCTCTTTTTTTCCTAAGAAACACTTGTAGATTTTTCCCCAAGTTACACAGGAGAAAAGAATAGTGATCCTCTGTATAAGTTTGGTAGGGTGTGTGTTTGTGTGTGTGTGTGTATGAAGCTTGTCTTCTGTATCATTTAAGAGGATACAGCATACTTCACATCCCAGTTAAAGACCGCCAATGAACTGGGCTGAAACTTTGCACATCAAGACTCAGCTGTGTGTGCTCTTCTATTAGGGAAGGAAGTAGAGCTCTCGGCTTTAGAAGAGTGGTTGAGAGTGTGGATGCTGGAGCCCAGCTGCATGGATTCCAATTACAGTTCCACCATTCACTGTTTCTATGGACTGGCAAGCCATTTAATCTTTCTGTGCCTCAGTTTTCTAGCAGGAAAAAGAGAATAATAACAACTCATAATACAGTTGTTATCTGTATTAAATGAGTTAATATATGTGGAGCACCTAAAACTGTGCTTGGCATGTAGTCAACACTTGAATATTAGATGATGTTATTCCCCACTTACTAGCTGTGTTAAGTTTGGCAAGTTACCTTCTCTCAGCCATGGTTGCTTACCTTTTAAAATGAGCCTAATAATACCTTACTTACCTAGAGCCAAGGGGATGAAATAAAATAATCTCCTGGGACCAAAGACTTGACCCATTTTCCATGAAATTTTGTTGGCATCTATGAGTATTGAGGGGGTACTGAAACTATATAATTCTGCTCCATGCCATGGTGTAGAAGGGCCAATAGCCACTTCCAGCTTCTCTTCTATTTTGCCCAAATCTATAAAGGGGCTTGGAAGCTTATTCCAGAAATCCATGTTAGTTATGTCAGAGAAAATGGAGTCTTTTCAGTTCAAAAAACAGAACAAGACCAAATATGTGCCATCTCCTACTGTCCCCTGCCATACTACAATTGGATGATCTGCATTGCTCGTAAGAAGACTGATCTTATGATCTTTGGTGATGATTTCTTCTTTCTACAATCTTGAAGAAACAGATGTCTGATTTCAATCAATGGATATTTCCTCTAGACAGGAAGCTTGTTCTGAGACTTAATAGACACCATTGAATTTTTCTTCAGTGTTCTGATGGCTTTTTGATTAAGTGTGCATCAGTTAATAATCCCCTGAAATACTGTGATCAGGAGCAAACAGAGAAGTACCCATTTAAAACACAAGATCAAATCAAGGTTTAGAAGGTATCTAACTTTCCCTTAGTGGTTGGTGTGATGTAATGATAGGTACCTTTTTTATTTGTGTGAGGGTTCCTTTTGAACACATGCTAGAAATGCATTTTTGCAATCAGAATGTCTCAGTATTAATACTTACAAACATTGTTTTTAGTACTGAGGAACATGGCTCAAGTTATCAATGTGTGACACGCAGCCAGCCCCTCTTGCATTTTCCTTACGGTTACCATTTCCGTTTTGCAGAATAAATTGCTGTTTATGTTTAACACTTGACCGCATCTTCTTGAAGCTTTTCTCAAAGAGAGCTGGCAATTACTGTTAAGCCAGTTTGACTTACCTCTTCATCCAGAAGAGTGCCCTGCCCATCCCAGGCACTCACTGCATGCCTGCTGAATGGGACTGGATTTGAAAAACAGTGAGACCTTCAGGTAGATAGACAGCTGTCCCAAGAGGCAGCTATGCAGCTAGCAAACAGAGCTGCAATTTTCGCCCCTGTCCTTGTTGCCAGCTTCCCAGCATATAAACAGAGTGGTAGAAACTATACTGGGCTGATGCTTGGAGGTTGTTTTGTCTGTCCTGTTTTTGTTTAGGCAAATTGGGTCTGTGATAGAGATCTGACTGATAGAGACTTTTCAAATATTTTGCCCTGAAGGGGAATGCGGATCCTTGGGGATCTTTGAATTGCTTTGTCTAACAGGGCAGATTGTTTGTTAAACTGTGCCAAGCCAGGTTTCATTTAATTGGCTGGGACACTGAAGGGGAGAGGGGTGTCCTGCTAATGCCAGGATTTCTAAGGAAGCCAGAAAGTCACAGCTGCTGAGCGGAAAGAAGCCTGTGGTTGGCACAGGGAGTGTAGAAGGTGATCATTCCTACTTAGCCTGGGCTGTTTACTCTGCCACCCTGTTGCTGGTGGACACTGGGCGTGGTGGGCGTGCTTGCCTAGTACCTGTTTGTAGAGCACTGAGACAGCCAGGGCAGAGCTAAAACAGCAGGCACCTGAAACCAGTCCTGTAGGTTTTCCCTCTCTGGCTTTAGCAGTGAAAACCTGCATTCCAGATGAAACCTGCAGGGAAGCGGAAGAAAGCACTTAAAAAAAATGCTTCAAGGGCTGTAAATGAACTGCTTTGAGAGTTCTGGGCACTTTCAAGATGATCTATTGGTTTCTCTAGTTTGTTTCCCAACTTGACTTTGGCATTGTAAGTGGCTGCTGATCTGGGTGTACTGCTAGTTTTTTGGCCTGGGCAGCACAGGACTCTCTGATCATAATCCAGATGAAAAAGAAGGCCTGTGTCAGAAGTATTTCAGTCATTTTCTGCTGATTCACTTCTGATTCCCTTAGGCTCCTCGGGGCAGTGGTTAAGCGCCGTCAGAATCAGCTTGCCGGCTCAGCACTTTCAGAAGCCTTCACTTGCTCACCAATGAGGAAGTTGAATGCCAGCAGGAGAACTGCCGGCCTGGGGCGGAGCTCCTCATAAAGTCCTGGGCTGGGATTACAGGGCAGTCTGACTTTCCCTATGACAAAAAGGCTTTTGTCCCCGGGAATAAATACGGAAGTTTCAGAAGAGCAGCCTCCGTGGTCCGTGTGTAGTAAGGTACACGGCCTTGGCTGCTTCTGGGCACAGACTCCACGCACTTTTCACAGTTGCCTGGGTGCACCATCATTGCACAAACCAGAGGGACTGCACAGTGACCTGAAAGAGACCAAGTGTGTTTGCTGTTCGGCTGACTGCCCGACTCCCAGGTCCTGTTGCTCTTGGTCCTGCAAATTAAGAACAGATGGAGTGGATAAACTGAGAAAGCAGGAGAAGGTAGCACAAGTCAGAACTTCTACCAAGGGCATTACTGAGACATGGAGAATGTTGATAATTCTCTGGATGGCAGTGATGTCTCAGAACCAGCAAAACCAGAAGCTGGACTTGAAATGGCTCAGTCGATCCTGAGTAAGTTCTCTATGAAATCCCTGTTTGGATTTACAAATAAACTAGAATCTGTGAGTCCAGAAGAGGAAGATGCTGTGCTGAAAGCATTCCGCAGTTTAGACGCAGAGCCCACATCTCAGCAGGATGATCCCAGCGGTGGCTTGGATCCACAGGAAGCAGAGTCTCGGGTTTCACCGGACCTCGGAAATGGTGAGAAAATTGCAAGGGTAGAGACAGAATCAGAGGGAAGTCAGAGAAAAGGAGAAGCAGGGACATCTCTCCTTGCTCAAGAGCTGCTTCCACTCTCTACTTTGGAAGAGACAAAAGGTGATGTCATTTGTGTTCATGGGACCCTTGTGCACACCACCAGTGATTCCGACTCTGATGATGGTGGCCAGGAGCCAGAGGAGGGAAGCAGCACCAATGGCTCCAAGTCCCCTAGTGTTGTTTTATCTGAGCCATCTCAGGAGTCCAAAGAAAACCCAGGAGATTTCAGGGAAAATACTGTCACTGAGGAAATGAATGGTGCAGAACTCTGTGCAGAAGATCCTCAAAGGATTCCACTTGAGACAAGCAGCAGACTAGAACCTGGCAGTGTTGGTCTTCTAACAGAGCATCACCCCAGCCAGGGCCAGGAGGGAGAAGAAGGGTCCCAAGTCCCACCTGCAGTAACAAACCAGAATTTGAGTGTTGGTGTCACTGAGAGTGCCTCTTCTAAAAAAGAAATTTCTGGAGAGAAGTCATTCCAGCTTCCAGCTTTTTTCAGTGGGCTTCGTGTGCTGAAGAAGGGGGCTAACGCTGAGAGAGGAGAGACCATCACTGAAATTAAACCAAAGGATGGGGACTTGGCTTTGCTCAAATTGACCCAGCCTGTACAGAAGTCCTTAGTGCAGGCAGGGCCGCAGACAGTGAAGAGTGAGGATAAAGCAACTGATCCGAAGGCCACTCCCACTCTCCTGGAGCAGCTCTCTCTGCTGCTCAACATTGACATGCCCAAAACTGAACTGAAGGGAGCAGACCCTGAGTCACCCAGGAGAGAAGAGATGGGCGGCAGTTCTGACCAAGAGAGCCAGAGTGGCCCTGGAGAAGCCCAAACCCAGGGTGGTGAGGTCAAGCCAAAGCCGCCAGAGACGGCCCTGGAGGCTTTTAAAGCCTTATTCATCTGGCCCCCTAGAAAGGGGACCACAGCTGACACCTCTGAGCTGGAAGCTGTCAAGCGCAAGATGAGACATGAGAAGGAGTCACTAAGAGCTGTGTTTGAACGGTCCAAGTCAAAGCCAGCAGATGGCCCCTCTGATCCCAAAAGTGTATGTAGAATTGGGGTTTGCGTTTTATTATATAATACGGTGCTGCTGTATTTCTTTCCAGGTTTCCTCCCAAAGTGAATCCTAGTTGCCTGTTGGTGATTCTTTGGGTGAAAAAGGATTATAGTCAAATTATATTGTCCTATAAGGAGTACAGAGTTAGACAGAAGTGCTTTCATGCATCCTGATTTTTATCTGGAATATTACAAGAGGGATGTACATAAAGCTATGCAGGTAGGAAAGGGTAACTGTCACCGGGAGTTTAAATGTTGATGGTAAATAAAACCAAGTAGCATGAGGAAGTGTTGCAATGTGGAAGTATAGCCCACGTTTATGGGGTTTCCTCACCACTTAATTATACCTCTACAGAAACTATATTATTCCTTTGAAAGTCTGCCATTTGGCAAAAAGTGTTTGTGATGTGATTAGAGTATTCGACATTGGTTGGAACGCTTCCAGATTGAGCACTGGATTTAGAATGAGACCTGAGTTTTAATTATAATTCTGCCCTTTACTGGCTGGGTAATCTTGATAATCTCCAAGCCTCAATCTCCTCATGTGCAAAATTAGAAAAATAAAATAGTTATATGGTTGTTAAAAGAATTAAATGAAGGCAGTGCATGAGAAGCATCTAATTAATGGAAGCTGTTATTACTCAAAACTAACTCAGGTAATTTATAAAGATGAGTAAGTACCTGTCCAGTAGATCTCAAATGATCATAAGAACAATAAATAGAATTTCTTGCTTAATATCAATTCAGTGTATGATTATCATCCCCCCCTATATGTTTAAAATGCTCAGTTAAAATGTTAAAAGTGAAAGTCTTTGGCAAAATTTTCTCAGATTGCAATTAAAAACTAAACACAATATAACATTCTCCTAATTATAAAAATCAACCCATGTAAAAATGACTTGGCTGTGAAAGTAATCTCATTTGTCTGTGTATGGGAAAAGGAGAAATTAGCAGTGTGGAATGTTTGGAGAAATGTATCTTGGTCTGCTGCTGATGTTCATGAAATTAGTCTTTATATTAAATAATCCCGGAGTTTGGGATACATGTGTAAACATTCCTATAAATGTACTTCAGTGTAGGACATCTGTGTCTGTTTCTTCAGTCCAAAGTATATTTGTGCTTTTTCAAACAATTATATAATAAAAATAATCTTTTAAGGGTTGTGTAATACATAGTTATCCTCAAGATTTTGTTGTTGTTTTTTAAATTTTTACCTCAACTGATCACGTTGCACCTCTGGAAAAGGATTACACTATAGTAAGATATCTCAAATTATAGTGAATGAGAGCAATGTACACTAGCCATTAAAATTAACTTCATAATTAGGGTTAGCATGTCATTTTTCAGGAATTAATTGGCTCTGACCACATTTCACTTATTATTTGCTTGCTCTTTCAACAGCCTGACCACAGCCCCACTGAGCAGGACGACAGGACTCCTGGCCGACTTCAAGCCGTCTGGCCACCCCCAAAGACAAAAGACACCGAAGAAAAAGTGGGACTGAGGTACACTGAAGCAGGTAATGTGAAAAGAAGCTAGGGACCCAGAAATGAATCTCTTCCTGCAATGGCTTTTAGTTCTAGCTTAGTTGACTCTCAGAATTTGGGATTTTGTTTCATTATAAAATCTAATGCTGAAGGCTCTCTTTTTGGTTTTGCTGTTAAAATGAACCTTTGTACACTTATTGTTAACGAGCCTCTGAAAGATGAAGGATAAATGCAGTGAAGTGAATGAAAAGGGGCATGTGTGTGAGGTAGGAGAACCTTGGGGGACCTGATGGAGAAGGTAGATAACCGATCCCTCAGGAAGCCAGTGGTTGGTCTTCATATAATTTTGTGAGCTGGCAGTGTTGCTGGAAGAGGCAGAGTATGGTTCTCCAGAGCTGTAATCTGATTTGTTGTTTGTCGTTGAGTAATGCTTTTGAGATAAAGGAACCTTGTGCAGAGTGAATGTACAGATACCATATCAGTTACTCGTTCACTTTTGTGAGACAAAGCTTTATTTAATGCATGGCCAACTTTAAAGCAACCTAACTCTCTGGAAACTTGCCCAGGAACTTTACTTGAATTTATTTAAATGAAATGAGAATCTAGATATGGTTACTATTTAAGTGAAAGTTTCCCATGAAATTTTAAATGACACCGAAGCATTAAAAGATGGGTATATATTAACAATTGCATATGTGTGTGTATATCCCTGAAATCTCTTTGCCTTCTTCCTGATGTTTGGAGATTACCTATACATGGCTTACATTTGTTTTCTTAGGTATGTGTGTGTATTAAGGTCTGTCTATCTGGTTATAGAAAAACATTTTTTACCATTCCTGTTCATTGATAAACATGAATGGATCAAAGTTTGGCTGGTTCAGTAGGTTTTTCCATAATATCAAATTATTCCGGTGGTTGAGAGCACATTGGCATATGAATCTCGAGATCATTTCTAGCTTTCATTTACACAGTTGCTGCTTATGACTTTGCAGGGCATTGGTTACCTGATAACATTTTCTTTCTGTAGTGTTTGACTTATAGGATGAAAACTCATATCCTCAATGAAAATTTATAGCGATTTAAGTCTTCTTGCCTACATTTGATTTTCCAAAATTGGAATGCTTGTAATTGCAATATTGAAGCACACACTGAGTTATTTTTCTCATGACTTAGGATAGTGTGATTGATTAAAAGTACTGAAGTTTGCTTTAATAGAAAACCAGAATCCCGTGAGTGTTTTTTGTTTTTTGTTTTTTTTTTTGTGAGATGAGTCTCACTGTGTTGCCCAGGCTGGAGTGCAGTGTGCAATTTCAGTTCACTGCAGCCTCCATCTACTGGCTTCAAGCGATTCTCATGCCTCAGCCTCCGGAGTGGCTGGGATTACAGGTGTGTGCCACCATGCCCAACTAATTTTTTTCTATTTTTAGTAGATACAGGGTTTCACTGTGTTGGCCAGGCTGGTCCCGAACTCCTGGCTTTAAGTGATTCGCCTGCCTCCGTCTCTGAAAGTGCTGGGATTACAGATGTAATCCACCATGCCTAGGCCTGTGAGTTTTTCTTTTTAGTTGATATTGGTGATTTTGACTAGTGTGTCATGGCAGTCTTCTTTGTAATAATGGGCATCTGCTGAGGAAAGAGGACATAAATGTCATAAATGGTTTTGGAATCCACCTCAAGTAGTATTTCAGGATTTTTTTTTTCCTCCACTGATACTCCTTAGTCTTTGCTTTCTGTCCTCTTGCATTTTCAGTGGCTCAAAGGGGCATCATAGTTTACCTTGGCAAGACTTTCTCAATCTTTTTAAAGATAATGAAATGTGTTCTCAGAGCTACCTAAAGCCTTAGATGAGATGAGAGAAAATGGGAGGAAGGAAGGCACTAATATCAGTTGGGTGGGCTCTGCCAGCTCTGTTACACACTGAGACAGAGTGGAAGCCATGTGCGGACAAGGCGTCTGGCTCCCTGGCCAGTTTTCTTGGCTGGCAGTCCTGTGGTAGACCTGCTCTGTTCCAGGGGGTAGTGTCCAGCTCCTTGAGAGTCTTCTAAATTAATCTGCTGATATACTCTTCCAGGTAGCAGGGGTGGGGGAAGAGTTCCAAAGAAGAATAAGATACCCCATGCCTGCAAGAAACTTAAATTTTACCCTATTAGTGGATACTGGCATATGGTCATTTCATCATGTATTACTAATTGTGAGGAAGTAATATTTTCCCTGTGGTTTTCTTCTATAATTTAGAAACTGGATTTCTATAAGCATTTGGTTTATAATCAATCAAACATTTTGTAGGTATTTCTATTAGTTTTTCTGCCCTTAGGAAAACATACAAAATTTGCCATACTGTAAGGGGGTTCAGAGACAGAAATTAGATCCAAGATAAGGTGTTTGAAGTCTTATGCTTTTACATCTTCAGTGTTCTTTTTTAAGTTAGTGGAATAGGATGTTAAGACTCTAGTATTTGTGTTTCATGTGCACTGTTGACATCCAAGCTGGTCCTTGGTGGGGTCGGGAAAAGATGGCATGTTTTCATCGTGAGCCCCTACTGTTACTGTGCTGTCCCCAGACTCTTAGGACTTGCCACTGCTTTGATCTCCCTCTATTAAGAACTTATTTAATACTCTTTTTTTTTTCTGCGATCTTAAGAGATCACCTAATACAGTAAGTTCATTTTTGTTCAGGATAAAAAGGAATAGAGTCAATATTAGAGAGGCTGCACCTTTAAACAGTGGTTCCTGAAGTCCTCTTAGCCATTGGAGGGTAGCTCACCCCATTGCTGGTGCCCGCTGGCAAGGCTGCTCCTTCCTGCTACTCTAAAAGCAAAGCCATCAGCTTCACCTGCAGCTTGCAGGTGAAGATGCTGTGACTCCCTCCCTGGGCAGCTAAAGCCTTTGGCTACTATTAGAGCCTCCAGTGCCATTCCAGTGATACTGTGCCCACTGTCAAGGGCCTGTGAGCTCTTGGAGCCTTGGTGATGTGTCATTTGGGACAAGCAAAGCCCTGGCACCCTCAAGCGACTGTCATAAGTGCTAGAGCCAACTTCTAGGTGGGTGAATGGGTGGGTAGGTTGGGGGGGGGACTCACGGCGATAATTTACTACAGGGTCTGAATTACTCTGCTCAGATGAAACAATCATTTTCCATCCCTTGTGCTGTTCATGCTTACATTATCATCAGTGTCATTCTCCTTTGTGTTTGGAATGCCTCACAGCAATTTTGAGTAAAAAGTATTTTGTCCCCCTTTTCTTTGCAATGGGGCTGGGATAATCTGAGTGACAAATTCCATATAGTTCTCAGATTTGTCTTTCCAGTTTTCTGAAAATAGGACTTTGTTATTGAAACAAAGTTGTGGAGTCATCTTAGTTTTTTGGGTGGGGACTCTCTCTCGCTATTTTGTTTTGTTTTCCTAAACTGGGCTTCTCAGATCCTTAAACTCACAGTGAGTTCCTGCCACCTTTTCTTTGCTGTATGCCACACACACTCTGAATCCCATAAACTGAAATGGCAAGTGAAGCTTGGGGCTAACATCAAACCCAATCATGAACAAAGTGAGAAGGTATTTTGTGATACCGTACAAGGTGAACCTAAGAGGAGCATATCTATCTTTCAATTTGATGTGGCGAAAACGATTTGTCTCTTGAGATAACCACTGTTCTCTCTACTCCATGCCTAAGGACACTATCCTGGACTATGTGCTGAGATTATATAAGTTAGTAAGTTGCCCAAAATTTTTTTACAAAAAAATTGGAAAGCATTAGGATGTTCTAGGTAATGGAAGCATAGAAGTAGCATAGGGCTAAACTTCTGTTTAAACGCATTAGATTACTTTTTTCCTTTTGCTTTGTTTAGTCCAAATGCATTTTGCTTTATTTTCTCTAGGGTAATTACATATATTATTGTATCAATGAGGGTCCTACTAATCAGGAATGAGGTGGCACTCAAATGGAGTGAACTGAGGAGAGTTTATTAGAGACCTTTCACAAAGGGACAGACGGGGCTTAGGAAAAGCAGTAAGAGAGCGCTGCTCTGGGGCTAGCACCCAGGAGAAGCTTTTACCATGCCTAGGCCCGAAGGGGAAAGGGTAAGAGTGGCTATCGGAAACTAGAACTTAAGACGAAGGCTGAGTGGTGTTGAGAAGCTGCTGGATAGGACCCGCAGCCCTAAGCAGGGAAGTGCACGGTCCACAGTGACATGCTAGGCTGGGAGCTGAGGACAGGCAGCCTGATCTCTGCTTGTCCCACTCTCTGGCCGCCACCATTGTCATTCCCATTGGCCAAATTCAAAGGGAAGTCAGCAGACTGGGACACCCTTGAGGCTATCATTTTAGGCCTGTGCAGACCTGGAGAGGCATGGAGAAGATCCCCTGCATAGTTACACTGCAACCATGAGTGGCCGAGGCTTCTAACGCCCTCCTGGAGAAGAATCTGCTCACACATGCTGGTGTTGCTGTACTGCACCACACGGGTTTTTAGTACGAGGGCACAAAGACAAACTTGCGTTTTTTTCATCCTGTGGAAGGGTTATATTTTCTAATATAATCAGTTCATAGAAAATGTGATGACCATTATTCAGAGGCTTGCTCTGTAGATAACTACTTCATCTTAATGTGAAGGGTTTGTTTACTAATCTCAGAAAATCTCTCATAGGTTTTTTATTACAAAATAAAGTAAAATTTGAAGATATCCAGAAAAATCATGAAACAAAAGCAACTTTCTGTGATTCCATTTCAGAGAAACTGTTGTCAATATTTTGAAACATGATAGGCCTATGCGAATTTAATACTGAAAAATAAAACTAAAATTTGAATCATATTATAGACTACTTTTTTTTTTTTGAGACAGAGTCTTGCCCTGTTGCCAGGTGCCAGGCTGGAGTGTGGCACGGTCTCGGCTCACTGCAACCTCCATCTCCTGGGTTCAAGCAATTCTCCTGCCTCAGCATACTAAGTAGCTGGGACTACACGCACATGCTATGACACCCAGCTAATTTTTATATTTTTAGTAAAGATGGGGTTTCACCATGTTGGCCAGGATGGTCTT